ACATTATGCATAATTCACATTAATTATGAACCTGTATATAGCTCTAAGTAGTTCAACGGTATATATGAAAAAAAAATAGTTACTGATTAGCTAATCGTGAACTACCTCTTTCAACCGAGCGCTATTACTTCCTAATCGTTAATCAGAGTTTCTTGTTAGTTAATAGTAGTTACTAGAATGTTATTAATGCATTAGTTACTTGTTCCTGTGAAGCTATTAATTAACGACAGAACAGTATTCTAAAGTGTTACTGTTTGCAGGATGTAAATTTAATTTGGTTTACTTAATTTATTACTGTTTAAATACGTTTCGCAGATGTGTCTTTTTGTTTCACACATTTAAGCCCTTCAACCCCACAGCAAAATCCTGGAGTGTAGAAAGAGTAAAAGAGCTGCAGTTAATGAGATAATTAAGTGCTGATTGAGCATTAGTGATGAACAGCTGCTGTTAACAAGCAGAATCACTGAAGAACAGAGAAACACAAGTACTACAACTGACTTCAGCCACAGCTTTAGATGAAATCAACTGAAATACAAGAAGATAGTAAATCTCTGAAGACTGATTAAACAACTCCACAAACAGCAGCAGCAGCTTCACGCATTACTTTTTTGCCTTCACACATAATCATTCATTATCAGTGTTGTTGGTAACGCATTACAAGTATCATGAGTTATGTAATCAGATTACTTTTTTCAAGTAACTAGTAAAGTAACGCATTACTTTTTTAATTTACAAGAGAATATCTGAGTTACTTTTTCAAATAAGTAACGCTCATCAGGAGTTGTGATGAGGTTGTCCAGAAACGCGACAAAAGTTGAGTAAAGTTTAATTTGCGCTTCATCTTACTGTGGCATCTTGTGATACGGCTACAACACAAATAAGACACAAAAACATATTACACAGATTCTTTTTTTTAAATTAGTTTGATGTTGGTGAAATTACTCATCTAGTTTACTTTGCAACTGATTGGCTGTAGAGTATCTAGTGACTAGTAGTGAGGACATTTACTGATTATATTGAGAAGACCCGAGGATCTCCTACTTACTGGCAGATTCTCATAATCAGAAGATCCCGACTGGTGAAC